AAAAGGGGAATAGAAGCACTGTAAGTAGCTGCATAGTTCAGTAGTTACCAGTCTTATTAGAAAATGCAACTCAGAGAAGAGTACTAAGGGGAACACTGGAAATCTGGAAACCCTGAAGGACAATGAGTTTTAAGAAGCCCCAAACTGTTCATTTAATTTTTTTAAATTACTAGGTAATTTCTGGGTCACAAATACATAACAACAGATTTCTGCGATAACTACTGAATATACTACATAAGGACATAAACTCCATCATCTGCTAGCTCAAACTAGAGAGATTTAGATTTTTTTTATGAAGTTCTCCTTTTGGTTTTAATTCCCTGCAGTGTGAAGTGGCAGCTTCCCTGCAGTGTGAAGTTGTCTATGGCTCTTTCCAGGCTTTGGACTGCAAGCCTCACCCCAGCTGTGAGCTGGGAAGATCCTACCGACTGCGTTACAGAAGACCAGCTTAATGTCTGACCTAATCCTCTTCTCTCTTGCATTTTAATAAGCTTTATGCATTAAGCTCTCTTTTTAATTGCTGGAGTAGCCAGGAAATAATCACAGTCACTGTTAATTGTTCATTAACTTTCACTTCAGAGTTTGAGTGAGCCATGTCTACTGGGCCGTTTGTGTGACTGAAAAAATCTGAAGCCAGTGAGATGAACAATGCCTTCTGAAACACGTTTTTACTCATATTTGGAACAATATAGAACAGAGCGGACTGCTTTCCAGACATTTTTATGAATATGGGGGGTGTCGTCTAAACATGCACCAATAATGAACAAAAAAACCCCTGGGTTTGTTGTACATTATTTATTTAACAGAGGCAAAAAAAGGCATCCAGTCATCCTATTTATCCACAAGTCTACTTGCTTTGGCTTAGGTTATTAGAGAAACCATATAAGATGACAGTTGGCTTGATGTGCGGGTATCACACATGCTCAGCATTTTAAACCATGTTTCTTGTCGGACAGCATAATACAAGCTAACATTTTTCACAATTCTCCAAATTTCTCCAAATATCCAGTCATTTCCTGGATATAAAGCTACTTTACTCGAGCTCCACAATTTTTAATTTCTCTCACACTGAAAAGCAGCATCCTCAGCTCACAAGTAATGCTTACATAAAAGCCTCACAGTCAGATCTCTTGGTGCCCTTATGTTTGCCAGGATATGAAAATAACAGCAATGTAAACACTCTACTTTTACAGAACAAACATCATATAACTACAAAGCAGTGATGACATAACCTGTGTATTATCTGGGCTTAATTTTCTGCAAAGTAAACTGAGTGTCTGCATCTCCTGTTCATCAATGCACTCTAAAATGGCCTCTTAAGAGGACCATTTTATATATTTTTTTCCAGTTTTTAAACAAAGACATATTCCTCCTCAGGACTTTACTTCGAATGTCTTTCCTTTTGTGTATCTAGACATCTTGCTTCCTCCTGAACAAGAATGTGGTTGCTCAAACAACACATTCAAATGTAATTGATATTTCACAGCTGACTCAGGTGTACCTAAGTTAACAGCTTGTAGAGAATATGTTTTTAAATAGCAAAACCAGTGCTGCTACTCTTCTTTTCTTTGTATTGGTATACATAATATGAAAACAATTTTAGGGGATCAGCCCTAATGTAGCTGTAGCTCACTATCCTATCAATGGCCATACAGGGACGCCTACTGACTAGGGAAAGTATGTGGTGATAGACCCCCAGAATAATCTCTCAGGTCTGAAAGATCTGCAGACCTGGGATTTCTACTTCTGTGACTGTAAGTTAAGTGCACTTCCTGCATAGAAATATTACATATAGCAATGTGTTTCCCTTTGTTTACTTTGGAAAGTATTCCTTAAGGCATAAGAAATCTTAGGCAATGACACACAATATGATATTAAAGAAATATTGCTATAAAGGAGTTAACGCTGGACTTCATAAATATGTTATGGATCATTTAGTCAACCAAATGGTTAGTGCTGATACATTACAGTCATAAAAAGTCTAGCATTAAAATACATGCAAGAATATGACTATCGAAAAAAAACCCAAACCTTAACTGTTCTGCCTATTTAAAGGACTTTATTTCTTTTGTTTTCTCTTTTCTGGTTCTCTGAAAAAGCTGATGAGAACACATTTGCTTCTCTGATTATGGCAAGCCAAGTACATTAAAATTTTCACCCATCTGTGCTAACTAATGTGCTGTTTCAGTTAAAGTTACTCCAGGATGCAGCTGATTTCTCAGGATGCAGAAGTACCATCTGAAAGCCTTTCTTCTTTTCTAACTAGAGTGGTAATAATAGGATCTGCACAGTAACCTCTTCTATATATTTGCTTCCTCTAGGGCAGGGTTCTCAGCTGTAATTCACAGAATCATAGAATCAAGTAGGTTGGAATAGACCTTTAAGATCATCAAGTCCAACCTTTACCCCAGGACTGCCAAGTCAACCAATAAACGATGTCACTAAGGACCATATTTTTTGAACATACTTTTTGAACACTTCCAAGAAAGGTGATTCAACCCCTTCCCTGGGAAGCCTGTTCCAATGCCCAACTACCCTTTTGGTGAAAGTATTTTTCCTAATATCCAGTCTTAATTAAGAATTAAGAATTGTCCATTTTCCATGCTGCACACACATTTCATGTACACAGCTAGTGTAGGCTCTCCTTGTTGTTTTGAAGCATTAAGCTGGAAATTGCCACAAATAGAACTTCTTATGAACTCAGCTTAAAAACATTGTCCATTTTCCACTGGCAGTTTCAAACCACAGACCCAAGGTATCAATTCCTTCTAGCACTCCTTAAAACTACAATTTTTTTTCCATTCTGATGGAGACAAAGAACCCAGCATGTGCTAAGTTGTAATCTTAAAAGAAGAACGGAGCAATGAAAGAATCAATACTTTACTGTAGTGCTCTTCACACATGTGTGGTATTACGCTGAATGAAATGATCATCAAGAAACTTGAGAAAAGAGCACAACTAATTAAAAAGAACCTTACGACAATATCCAGCTTAGTAACTGAGAGTGTGCAACTTTCACTAATATCCAGATCTTTTCTTTTTTTGCAGTGTTGTCAAAAACAGTGTACCTCTAAAAAGACAACATATAGTAAGGTGTCACAGTTAAGGAACTTCTAGTTTGATTCTTGATTTGTCATTCTGACTTCTCAAGTTGGTGCTTATGAATCACAGCCCCCACCTACCCCAATGCTGTAATGAAATGGAATCACAATTTTCCTTTCAATCAATACTGTTTCTTGTGCTATCCTGCATAACAGAAAATACAGGTTTAGCAGACTTTATGTTTGCTAAAATTATTTTTTACAACTTCTAAAAATTCCCAATACTAAAAATTTGAGACGAGAGCATTTTTAAATTAATTTTGATCAGATACCTATCCAGTATACCTATAAATACCTATACCTACTAAATACTGACACTATGAAAGACTGCAATTTTCCACTCAGGTTGCCTGTATTACTGAGGCATTTTTATGATTATGGGGCAGTAGAAGAGACATATTTTTATTTAGTGATCTGATTAAAGTTTTAGAACATTTCTTACTGGTGGGAAGCTATGAAAGGAAAATGCCCATGTTTCTTCAGTTACAAAATGATAAGTATTTCAGACCAGTCTGGATTTTCAAGTTGTGATAAAAATACATGGCAACAAAATGTTTGGTTTTGTTTAAAAATATTTGGCCAAAATCTTTACAGGAATGACTGTACTGGTATCAAGAGATTTACAACAGAAATGAATTTGATCTCTACGTATTATTTGGTAAAGGAAAAGTGGTTTTATTGTTCTATTTTACTTTTAAACTAATCCTAGCTTGTAAAGCTACAAATGTACCAATTAAAATCTAGATTTCATCAAGACAGATCTTTGTCACATTTAAAAGTGATTTTCTTTTCTATGATTCCTTTGAAGAGCCAAAATTATATGTACCAATGTAATATCTATGGGTGTGACAATAAGAACAGATTTTTTTCCATGCACTTCTATGTCTATTGCACTGAAAAGAGCACCGTCCTTCAATTTTTCAAAAGTAATGTCTAAGATGGAAATTGAATATATTTAGCTGAACAAGTAAACCGGGTTTTGTTGTAACAAAAACTTCCTCTGGTGTAATAAAAATGTTCTGCAAGGTAACAGCCAGAATTAAAATGCAGCATGCTTTTTGTTTGTGAGAAAGGAAGCAAGTAAGTAATTTGCTGTTTCATATTATGGCTTTATTGATTTCAGAAAGACCTGACTCTCTGTAGGGTTTGCTGGGATGCTGCAGACAATATACAGCATGAAGATATGCAACATTCTTTCTTGCCCAGTCAACAGTGACCCAAGCATATTAGTGCACAATTGCAAGCTGAGGGAAAAAGGCAAAATTTCATTCAAGCAGACAGCAAATTCTTCTGCTTACCAATTTTAAAAGAATAAACATGAGATTGAGCATCTGCATTTCAACATCAGATCACTTTTTACTGGGCTTGGCCTGGTTTAATTTATTAGACATATGTTTCTGTTATGATGACCTTGTAGTTAAGTTTGGCTGCAAGAAGTTTTTGCACTTGAAGAATGCTGAATTCTGGGTTTTACTCTGATGCTAAATAGCTCCCTTCCAGCTTTGGTCTGCTTTCAACTTCATTTACTTTTGTCAACTAATACATCACAGGTTAGCAGTTTCATGGAAAAAATAATATGAGTGAGAGCAGTGTTTTCATTCATAAGTAAGACTTTTGCCCAATAGTGTGTCACCTTTTCTAATACTAGCATGCTGTATAGTTGCCAGCAAAGAAACATTATGAACCAAGTTCATATAGTGAATAAGTTGCTTCAGATAGACAGGGAAAAGAGGACATTAACGGAACAGCTGAACATGTATGTGTATGACACTGCATAACTTCCTCTCTAAATCTGACAACATAGATATGTTTGATCAGCTAAAATAAATAATTCTGCAAACTTTCCCATGCAGTTTTTCTTCCTTTTCTCACTGGTAAAGAAACAAATTTATGGCTTACCTTTCAAAACCAATCTGCCTTAATGTTTTCTCCCACGTTGAACCTATACAAAGAGGAGAAAAAACAAACACCCTCAGTAAAGAACCTTTATTGTATGAACATTCTTACTCTTCTCCTTTCCTTGTGCATCTGGGATCTGTATAGTAAGGTGATTTTTCCACCCCTACAGAAGTACTTGTAAATAACATCTGTTTTCCCTCGACTGAAGAACTGTTAAGGGAGGCTACCACCGGATGACGTAACTGGGTGGAGGGGTATCAGCCTATGTAATTTCTTTACATTGCAAGGCAGCCGGTCACTGCTACAGTTCACTGCAATTCCAAGGGTGGTCTCCTCTCCTAGAGCAATGTGATCTGTACATGACTTCTGAAAGTGCTGAGCTGGCATCTCACATCACGCACTCTTCACATTTCAGCTTTTCATTTTACTGCAGTGTTCTCCTGATTCTTGCTGAAAGCTTTACAGCTCCTTCTGAAATCCAGCCCTTTTATTTTTAAGCAAAAGCATGAAGATGTATTTCTGCTTTATTGTTTAACCCTTCACACTCATACAAACAGATGCAAAGGATTCTTACTCAAAATCATGAAGGACTCAGCCCCACAAACTATTCAAGTGGCAGACTCATCCGAAGAATTGCCCTCAGTGTTTCTGATGCACTTAATATAACTTTTACCTAGATTTTCTTAAATACACCCCCCTGCCCCCTGCAAGCATTAGGTGATCAGTTTTCAGCACTTGGTAGTTTTTTACTTATTGGCAGTCTCTTTCTTGCTACCATTATGTGCTCATTATAAATACAGGCTATTCTCAGCACAAGTATCTCATCATGCAGGTCTGCAAGGCAAATATGTAGGACATGAAGTTGGGTCATAGTTTGGTCTCTGTCTTTTTACATTCCTGTAGGAAACATAGCAGGACTGCATACAATGTAAGCAGCTACAGTTCTTTTTGAATGCTTCATTATACTTAAACTAAATTGAGAGAAGTAACAATAACACTTGTTGCTGATGCAGTCAATCACCTAAAGGGAAATAAAAATAAGGAATAAACAGATTCCCTGTGAGTGACATTTGGTAACACCAGAGAAACTCAGAAGCAAGCACCAATGTTGCCGAAAAGTACTGAGAAAAAAAGCACAAAGACATGAAAGCAAGTGATTTTGTCTAATTTAAATCTGGAAAATGTCAGGATTAAATACTTATTGTGCAGTGAGTGCCCATACAAAAACTATAACAGAATCATGAATTAGATTCTTCCTACTGCAGTCCAAGTCCTACTTCACAAATTAGTATGGGAAAAGTGGTGACATAACAGTATCAGTCAAAAAACCCTCGGCAGATATATCTCTTACCATCGCTATCTTTCCATTCTGGTAAAGGTATCAGCTCAGAAACCAGTGACCTGCCATGTTTGTAATATGGTATTTATCTCTAATCTGCAACTGTTAAATATTTGAATAAGATCTAGCAGACACTTTTCATCTTTGAATTTGGAGCACTTACTGCTAATCTAGATAAGAACTAAAAACTTGACCTCTAAAAGGTTTTGGGTTTGAGGTTTTGGGGGGTTTTGTTTGCTTCTTTGTTTTTTTTAACAAAACCCTAGCAACAGAATTCTTTCTACTCAATTGAATAAAACTTTCAGCTCAGCCCAAGGAGAATGTGGTAAATTTCTAAAGTAATGATACAATTTTTCAGTACAATATTATCTAGTATCTGCCTGGTTTGCATATCAGACTAAGTACTTTAAAATTGAAATTAATAAAAGCTAAAAAGTTAATTTCCTTATAGGCCTATGTCACGCAAGGCTTCCTTCACAGTTGCTAACTGGACAGCCAAAGAATGAAGCTAACATTGGCTTGTGGAAAATAAATTCCTTGTGTTAATCTCTGCTTTTTAGAAAGAGGAAAAGAAACTACATTAAAGTATATGTTCTTAATATCAACCGAATTCTGACATGTCACTCTGTACAGGAAGGATGTGGGTTGGCTAAGGAGGGTTGGTTCACAGCTGGTTCCAAAGGCGGTCAGTATACTCCAATATACTCTTCTGGAACCCCTTCACAGAATCACAGAATCAGAATCCCAAGGGTTGGAAGTGACCTCAAAAGATCATCTAGTCCAACCCCCCTGCAAGAGCAGGGTAACCTAGAGTACATCACACAGGAACTTGTCCAGGCGGGCCTTGAATATCTCCAATGTAGGAGACTCCACAACCCCCCCGGGGAACCTGTTCCAGTGCTCTGTCACTCTCACAGTAAAGAAGTTTTTTCTGATGTTCACATGGAACCTCCTATGCTCCAGTTTACACCCATTGCCCCTTGTCCTATCACTGGATATCACTGAAAAAAACCTAGCTCCATCATCCTGACACTCACCCTTTACATATTTGTAAACATTGATGAGGTCACCCCTCAGTCTCCTCTTCTCCAAGCTAAAGAGACCCAGCTCCCTCAGCCTCTCCTCATAAGGGAAATGTTCCACTCCCTTAATCATCTTTGTGGCTCTGCGCTGGACTCTTTCAAGCAGTTCCCTGTCCTTCTTGAACTGAGGGGCCCAGAACTGGACACAATATTCCAGATGCAGCCTCTCCAAGGCAGAGTAGAGGGGGAGGAGAACCTCTCTTGACCTACTAACCACCCTTCCTTCATCACTGAACTTCTCACTGCCAGTCGCTTCAAACTTCTGTCACACCCATATTTTCAACAAAAGGCTCTATAAACCTTTCCTGATGATACTTCAGGACAATGGACAAAAACCTTTTCTGTTCGGGACTGTTACAGCTACAGCAAGCGACCAATATAAAATCACTTTTAATTGTTCCCATTCAGTCCAAAGCAGGCAGGGATCTCAGGCCCATATCCAGCAGAGTACACAGAAATAAGAGGACCAAAACCAAGGTGGAGAAAGCTCCACCTCCATTTTACGGAAAAAAAAATGAGTCAAGTTCTGTTCTGGAATAACTGAATTGTACATTATTTGATCAGCACAGGGAGCTCATACTGTGGTGCCTCTATATGCCTGAGGTGAGGCAAGACTTCTGCCTGCACAACTGCCTACATACAATAGCTTTCATCAACACTGAGTTCATATTTTATAAAAATAAGTCTTCTAAAAACATCTTTAAAGCAGGACAACAAACGTTCTCACACACATTTATTTCAAGAAAACCCCATAAACCCCAAATTTAATGTGCAGTACAATAAATGTCAACATTTCATTGAGATAAATAAAGAACCACTCCATTAACATCTAGTATGATTTCTTCCCCAAACCCACCACCATCTGCATGCCCCTGGAGTATATCTGGTTTCATGTAGCACTGATGAATGAAGTAATTGTTAAAAAGATGACAGTGTCACTCCACAGGTAAGTGCAGGGCAGACAAAAGGAGTTCTCTATATAGTTTATGCAATCCTTCTGGCTCTGAAAGGGTATTCAACAGTTTTTGAAGCTTGAAGATTTGAAGAGTGCTGAAGAAAAGAAATCTCAACAGTACTTTTTAAAGCAAAGACTAGTGCTGGCATCTTTAGTGAATGTTTCTATGCTTTCCACTGTTGTGTATACTAGTATGAATTTTTCACCCCATGATTGGCTACACTTCAGTTGTATGATATATAGAGAGTCCTCCAGAGAAGGGGGAGAGGAAAAAAAGCAAAAGGGAAAGGGAATTGAGTCTCCACTGGTTTGAAATAATCTTTTGGCTGCAGCTGGCTAGCAGAACATGCTTTGAAATGCATGTGGCTCCTATGAAGCAAAGCCTGCCAAGAACACAACTAACATTTCATATTAAAAAAATACACATCTTTTTTATGGAGTCTTATTTTAAAATGTTTATGATCTAAACATTCTGTTTTAAGATTTGCCAATTCCATTCTCAATAGTATCAACTTCTACGTTGCACTAACAGCCAAAAGTAAATACCCTGAGGTAATAGCAGCACCAAGAAGAATAATGCTATTAAAAGTCTAGAAAACTTATTATTCGATTTAAACCTTACCCGGTGCTTCCAAAACATTAAACAAGATTTAAGTCACGTAACTCTCATTAAAATCAAAACAGGAGTTTTTCACGAATTAAGACTTGATTCTGCTCCCAAAGAAATCAAGCAGAATTTGGCTATTCAATTCAGCCTTTCTCTCTGCCAGGACTGTAGAAAACATTCACCTGTCGACTTTCAGATTCAGTCCACTGCTATATTTCAGTTGCTAAGTTAATTTGGCTTCTCTTTGCTTTCTGTTTTTTACCACCATGTCAAAAATACCAAAACTGTTTATAAGACTGCCTTAATCTGGTATCCATGTAATTAAGCTTTTGTTCCAAATATTTGCTCCAGAGTGCCTGACCATTCCCATCTTTTCCAGAGATTCTGTTTCACATTAACAGTGCTAGCTGTAAAATTCTTCAGAAAGAGGAACCATCATGTACTTCCAGAATTACTGCTCACACTTAATAGGAACAATGGTAAAATGCACATCATGCCACATACGTACTCAATGAAATCCTATCCTAAGAATGAGAGTATAATATCAGATTTAAGAAGACAAAATTAAAACCATCTTTTGGAAGTGAAAAATTGTCTTCTTTGACAGGTAGCCTCTCATTTATATGGCAGTTTCCATATTTGGGTTGTTTTGGTTACAACTTTTTGCTTACTACAAACTTACTGTGAACAAGAGGATACAAACTTACTGTGAACAAAAAGATTCATAATCCACTGCCAGACTGCTCACCTTTACAAAACATGAAGTTGCCTAGCCCTGAGGTGCCGTGGTAGGCTCAGGAAAAACACAAAATAACATATTCATAGAAACACAGAATCATAGAACACCAGGTTAGAAGGGAGCTCAAGGTTATCTGGTCCACCCTTTCTTGGCAGAAGCAGAGTCCAGACTAGATGGCCCAGCACCCTGTCCAGCTGAATCTTAACAGTGTCCAGTGATGGGCAAAAATATTGGAAAAGTGATTTTGAGCTATTCACGGAGGTTGTGCAACCATTCCCTTTGAACTGTGTGATGCCCTATCTGCCACAGAAAGGTACAGCT